GTGTGTAAGCTCATATGTAGAATTGCCCGGATGATTTGCATAATGGATGAATCTCTCGGGAGTTACTTGGTAATCAGCTATACAATATAGCCTTTCTCTCCGCCGTGTAACATACAACTCTTAAGACGCGTTCGTACGCTCGCGCTCAGATCTCAGAAATAATCCGCTCCACGGTAATTTACTAGTTATGGCAACTAGAATCATACTAAGGATGAAATTATATCCCCGTAGAGCCACGTAAGCGCAAAACAAAATTACAGCTACGGTCCTCGTAGCAGCGGCCGATCCCCTCATTTAGCAATCTCCAACAATATAGTTTCTCTATCTCCCTCATCCCCTATCTTTCCCGCCTTCCTATTCTTTTTCTCTCTCTCTCTCTTTTTCTTTCTCCTCCTCTTTGCGATATTACAAAACACGGATATAATTTCGTGCTATAACTAAGATTCATCTAAATCTAAACACACATGTAGAATATGTGTTTACGTGTCCCTCTTCCATCCGCGGCCAATTGGAGAAAGTTTAATGCTCAACTCAACGATGTGACTTAAATGGCATTATAAATAAATGTTTTGATTGTTTTTTATCGAACATAGGTGCTACAGGTATTTTAAAAAAAAAAAAAAGAAAGAGGGAGAGAGAGAAAGAGACGCGCGAGAAATGCACATACATCATTTCTTATGTGCGCATTAAAGTCACCGGGGCGTCTTGTAGCATCGCGTGACTACATCTTATTCCAGGAATGCGGCTGCAATATATTGCAACGGTTTTTGTTTTGCCTGCAATTAGCATATATTCAAAAGTTGATTTATAGATTATATGACATAATATAATATAATTAATTTAGAGATTTTATTATGTATATACTTTCAAATCTCTTAGGTTAAAACATGAAAATTCCTCAAGAGAATTCAATTATTATTTCATTAATTATGAGAGAATATTGTCTCATTTCTGATTATCAGAATATAAATTCTAATTTTTGTATATCAGTCCTTTGTACCTTATATAAGTATATTTTCTACTTTCACGAGAGTAATACTGAATTTTTTTATTCTATTCGCGCTTGGAGAGGAGCCTATGTGTCAAATATGATTTATTATTATCACGATAATATATTCATTTCATTTCGATCATATATCATGCGTGAGACAACGCGACAACCACTTTCCTCCGTGTCTTCGTTTTTTCATTACATGATGTAAGAAAAATAGAGACATAAGAAGGAGAAACCGGCAAGTAGATAAAAAAGCGGAAGGAAGAAAAAGAAAGAGAGAAAAAGAGAGAAAGAGAGAGAAATGGGCAAAAGATACTCGATCTACGAAGAAGCCAAGCAAAGAGAAGAACAAACGGACGTGGACCAGCTTGCACGTGGTGGCACGTGCAGGGGCGTGGTTCGTGGGAGGGCCGGGCACACGAGACTGCTGCAATTCACTTGGCACACGGCTGTTTGGCTAACATAAGCCCTACTCTTTTCTCTCGACCGTTCGCTACCCTACTCTGCCACTGCGCGTTATCTTGCTTATAGCGCTGCCGCCGCATCGTCCCCCTGTTCTTCTGCATTGTTTACGCGCGCTATGCATCTCAGGTGTACTCTCTCTCAAGAGAGAAAGAGAAAGAAAGCAAGAGAAAAGAGAAAAAGAGAGAGAAAGAGTCGAGAAGAGTTGGATGGGGTGAAATGTTGTTCCTTAACAATATGATGAAAGTTTAAATAAATCTTTATGCAGAATCTATAATTAAAAATTTTAAAGAATTTATTAGTCTATTTTTCGTATGTTATATTTATTATATGAATTTTTTGGATGAGCTTATAGAGATACATCATATTTAATTTCATAAAGTTAACAGCTCTTAAAAAATTAATTAATAATTAATTTTATATTTTTTACTTGATATCTTTTCATGCAGAACTGCGTTAGTGTAATATTATAATTCTCTAACAAAATATTATTATATATACATTATATATTTTCGAGTTTTTTAGTAATTACAATTATATATATTCGAATTGTGTTCATTGCATCTCTTACAATGCACTTACTTACTTCTATCACATTTTTCATAGATGAGATTACGTTAATTGCATATTTTGTTCATATAATCTTAAATTACGAATTTTATAATATCTCCAGCGGGCTATTAAGTGCACATAAAAATAATCGCGAATGAAGTTCACAAGGGTATTCATCCATAATTAACTATAATTGTAACATGCTATCAGTTAACGTTTTCTTCGTATCGACTAATTTATTATGTGGCGATAACGACATTGTATTTTATAGCGGCAAAAGCATATTTACCACTGCATCTTTTACTTCTGAAACGCATTACTATCAAGAGTCGGCAGGTAATTCCGTTAATTGCATCAGATCGGTATTTACGATGCAATTAGTAATTGAGCATACCTGCCATCTCTTTGAATCAATCGACTTGCTTTATTTTTCACCGACAGAAATTCTATTAGATATAATTAAAATTTATCTTTAACGTATTTTTCTTACATATCTATTTCCTAGTAATAACAAATGCATGCTAAATATGAACATATATTTTTATTTTATAAATTATATTTTATATGCATTATTAATATATGGTTTTATAATTGTAGAGAGTTAAATTAAAAAAAAGAAATCTATATTTTTTCATTAAATATTTTTAAAACGAGAGGACAATTCATTGAAAGATGCTCACAATTCCGAAAATTTATATTTGTAGTGATGCGCATTTGTCTTACGATAATCACACATTTTCATCTCGCACGTACCTCAGAATAATTAACAATTTCCGAATCAAATATAATCGATGCTCTTTATCGGACGCGGAAGACGTTGATTTTTTGTCCGTCTTATGATAATATCGCGAATAATAATAAGCCTGTTCCCTCCTCTCACGAGGATAATAAATATTTCGCCAGCTCCATGATCCATTGTGCTTAATCGTCACTTCTTCCTCGCGTTCAACACACCCCTTCCCAGATCGATCGATGTCACGGTGAAATCACTTAGAACCGACGCTTCGCGATCACAGCGGGAGTCTCCGGAGCGCGATCGTGAAATTAAATCGAATGCGACTTCGGTGCCCGTGACTATCGATGAGTGGCATCTCCATGTGCGATGCGCCGGGACGTCTGCATCCGGCTGTCGTTGTATCACATTACTCGCATATTCGATTCTCTATCATTTCGATAAATCATCGACGGGCACTGCAGACCCTCTCCTATAGTTTCTTACAATTAGCTGAATGGTTTAAGAAAAAAATAAGAGAATATTCACATTTCAATTTAATGTAATTAAATATGAAGTATCTATGGATTTTCTCAAATTGATTGAATAAAATATATTAATAATTATTTATTATCTGAGTAAATATTTGTAAACTTACTATATATTAATTTTTAAAATTTTTAATTAAATTTGAAAAGAATTGCACAAAAATTGTATTATTTTACAGAAAAATTATTTCTTTTATGATTAAATTTTGATATTTTCTTCAGAAACGAATTCTCTTCTTCCTCTCTAATTCTTTAATTGTAACAATTTTTTTAATTACTTTAAATTATGCGGAAAAAGCTGTGAAGAGACCTCCTAGTACCGTCACAAAAACGTGGTTGCAGGCATGAGAATGTCTGCCCCTTGGTCGTCAGGGGATAATATCGTATAATAATAATCGAAAAGGGGGGTGAGGTGCGTGGTTGTTTGTATAGAACGGGGTGGTAGTATTTTAAATGCCAATGATTTCATGTCTCCCCGGGGTGTACGCGGATACCCTATATAGGACGATCCGGAGGCGTTCAAGTGCTCAGTCGACGATAGGAATCCGTCGTTTAGTAAGATTCACCGTAGGTTTCTTAAGTCGCGTATAGTGGAAGTGATTTCGGAAATTTCTCTCACTTGCAATTGATTAATTTTACTTTGATTAACCATTAAAAGAATTAGCACATTCTAATAAAAAGTTGTTAGCCATAATTGTAAAATTTTCTCGGTCACAGAGTGTTCTGCAGACATGATTGCCATGGATGACGGATATTCTCAGTATCGTAGATATTGTACGTACTTTTCAAGCATTTAACTTACCATTTTTTCAAAAATTTATAAATGTAATTATGTGTTTCAATATCGATAATATTATATGTTTACATTAAAATATATCATATAACTGTTTTCTCTTAAATAACACTTATGCTTTTATTGCAATTTGAATATCTAATCTTGTCATTAATGTAATAATAATGTAAATATATAAAAATAATAGAAAACGTAATCACACAGGAAAAAATATTTTATGAATTACGTTCAATGTTGCCAAAATATTTTTCTTTTATTATAATAAATAGTTGACAAAATATTTTTCTTTTATTATAATAAATAATTGACATGAGACTTCAACATAGAAATTTAAAGTCAGAAGATAACCATGTTGTTAATGATACCGGAAATACAGTGTATAACGAAAGCTAAAAATCAATATTAACCGCGTTCTTGCGATTGAGAAAGTATCCCGTTGCAGCTTCTCGTATCGCTTGAAATTGACATGACAGAAAGTTTTTTTTTTTTTACCGAGAAACGAGGTTGCGATCCATTTTTGTCTTCTCACGTATAACGAATGATGTTATTCCATTTGACGACAGGCAGCGCATACATTATTCAATCGGTATTTAAAGTTTGTTATCAGAGAGGAATATGTATTATAATATTATATATTTTATATTCTGCATATTTAAATGGAAAGAATTGTTGATAGATAGTTAATACTGATATTAATAAAAATAATAAAAATTGAAAAAATCACTTTTTGATAAAAATATTTTGTAAATATTAAATACAACAATCTGCTCAATAATATACATATATTATTTCCTACTCTAAACAATTTTTCTCTTTATATTTATCATTTTATTATTTTGTACTTTTATAAAAATTTGTATTTTTCATCTCTAAGCTCAAATAATCTATTGTCTAATATAACAATATAATAACCTAGGGACCATTGTCTGGGTGTTGCAGGGCAACTGCATTCGCCGAACGGCGATAGCGACAACAGCAACGGTAGCCAGCGTGCGGTGGCTGTTACTCGCAGCGAGGTAGAGCAGCAGCAACAGCAACAGCAACAGCCACATCGCCAACGGCAGCAGCAACGTCAGGCGACCGCTACCGTTCCGGTTCTCGCCTGCACTAATCAATCATCTATAACTACACCCACGACCGCCTTCACGGTGGCATCAAGCATGCTTCTTTTGCAAACACAGGTTAGTTATTTTTTTTATTATTATATGATACATCTCAGCGATTATTTGTTTCGAAATTCGTACTATTAAATTTGTTAAAAATTCAAAAATTGAAGAAGATCAGAAAAATGAAGATGAAATAATCGAGAGTGAAATAATTGACAGCAAACGACATTCTGAATACAGTCTATATCACAAGTCTCGCAGCAGTTGTATCAGATTGGTTGAGCCTTCGTGTTTGCATGTCGACATGACGCAATGTATAAGTTGTAATTTTACGTAATATTCGTCCGTGTAAACGCTCATATCTCTCATCTCATCTCATTTCCCATAAATAATGCTGAGAAGAAGGTTTTACGAGAAATATGGATATATAATATTTCAAACTAAGAAAGTAAATTTACGTGCGTGCAAATAGCGTATCGCGTATTAAATAATTTACAGTTGATTAAAAAAGTAGATTTTTATTATTGACTTATCGGTTTTCCATTTAATTTAACAAATTTCTATATTTTTAGCGTTAAATAATTCAAGGCTGTTTAAATTTAGTATTTTATTTAATAAGATTGACTTTATATAATTTAGGAAAATAACTTTAGAAATTGCCTCAAAAATGATATTTAGTTGTAATATTTATAGATCTTCTTTTCTAAAATCTTCCACTTCTGCATATTGTGTGCTATTTTCTTCTCTTTAATTTCCTTATCATACGATTCTCTCTTCGGAGCAGTTCTCTCTTATCTTAAAGCAGTTAACAAGCGACAATCGCATGATATATATTAGTATTATAAGATATTGTCATCGTCTTTCCCGAACTTGCCTTTGCGCGATCAGGTTGAAATTATCGCATCACGATTCGATAGTTAATCTAATTCTTATCGACTCTCGAGCTCTCGGAATCCCACGATGATTCCGTTTAGCATCAATATAATAAGATTTTCCCATATTCCCATCATCTACGCTTATCATGCATAATTTATGTTTCATATATCTGTTCTGTCTGTTTCTCACTTCCTCTCTTCTTTCTCCATTTTTTCTTGCCTACTCCGTTTCGATCTCAGCTTTCTTCTTCATGCTGGATGAAATAACATTGCATCAATTAATGACTAAAATAGGAATGTGCCGCGAAATTAGCGGACCAGTACCATAGACATTGTTTCGATGATTTAACGAGAAGAAATAAAAAGGGTGCAGGAGGAGGGGCGCTTTTAGGAGCCGTTTAGCAGGACATTTATTCATGGTCTGGAAAGACGAGGCTTCGATCGCCGGTTCTCGGGGGAGCGATGAGCGAAATGTCAGCCCGAAGCGGAACCGGCACTTGCAAATTGAATATCCACCCTCCTCGATCATCCCCCTCGATCGTCCTTCTACTCGTGGTGTTATTCTTCGGCCTCCTCCCTACCGCAAAATACCTTGCTACCATGATTCTCGTTTTTCATCCTCGGATTTTAATACATGGGGACATTTCTTCAGAACCCAAATTTTTATTAATAGTAATGTGGATTTCTTTCAATTAAATTTTAATCTCCGAAGAAGATTATTATTTGACCGGCGAATATATCACTGGGGAAATGTGTGGATATTATAAAAATAATATTTTTTAATTAAATATCTCCTCTTCTTTCCTCTTTAATATAACTTTATTATAACTTGTAAGAGTTGGACAAATATTTTCGATTAAACTATTTATTTCCGACGTTTATATTTTTATCGCAACTGATTGAAGATATATTAGTTTTAAAATCCAGTAAATCTGTTTCACAAGAGGAAAAGAAAGTATCATTGCGCGATCGCAAATCTCTCCGAGCAGATCAAAGAGTAATAAATCTCCATCGTTAATTTTGAAAGTTAGGCGAGCAGTTTATCGTTTAGATATTTTATGGCCGATTGAGTAACTCTCTTATTACAATATCTTGTAATACGTACAGTTTCTTGTCGAATTACAAAATGTATCAACGTCGTTTATTCTCATCCCATTGCCGCGGGAATATTTAACCAGGCTGCTATAGTGTTTTACCGTCTATCGACTATCGACTATCAATGATTGAATCAGGAGAGGGGAGGGAACGAGAAAGAGAGAGAAAGAAAGAGGCTCTAAGCCTCTATCGAACGCCAGCTTATAGACAACACGCGATACGAGCTTGGCTTGTCCAATCCTCTCTCGAACATCCTCACTGCGCACCTCGATTGTACATCAATGCCTCGCCGCCGTGGCTCGCAATTGTGCTCGAGCAATGTTTCTGTCTTGCAGTTGGGTGCTTCGATTTGTCGTTCGCACCGCTTTCCGGACTGTGATAACTCCGCCGAAAGAAAAAAAAACATCGGCGTTTAAAATTAATAATCGATTTTCGTTCATTCGGTATGTAATTAGAAAACAAAAGATTCGCAAAATTCATATCGGTATGGTGTTCAAATTGACTCACGTCATTTATACGACGCAGGTATTTTTTATTTATATTCATTTCGTTTCTTCTTTTATTCCCACTCTTCTATATTTTTAATATTTTATAATATTTATCGTATCTTTTATCAAACTTTTTTTTGTCTAATATAAATTGTTATTAAGAAATTGTTACTGATATCTTATCGAATTATGTAAATATTTATTGTTAATGTTTTTTTATTATATGTTTGTATATGAAACTTGTTAATTATAATTATATAAATTATATAAACTATATAATATACAATATAATTATATAATTATATTAATTATAATTATATAAGCTTATTAATTATAATTATACTTGTGTGATTAATTTTAAATTAATTTTATAAATTATTATATATGCGAATATATTTGCTCCTTTTATTTTTTTAATATTTATAAAATTACTTTTATGGTATCTTATATTTTTTCATTTATTATATAGATTCTATTATCATATAATTGTAACGTTACTTATAGATGTGTGACTTTTTGTTACAGAGCTCCTTCGGATGTAGCAGTTTCGCAGAATTGCTGAGTGGTCCTTATACAGACCCTGCGGATGCCGGAAGCTTGCCTGAGGAGCTGGATCCCTTTCCGGAGTTGCAGCTCGGAAATCCGCAAGGCGTATCTTCGGTCGATGAGTCTGCTCAGTCTCACCAAAGTGTACACCATCAACAGCCATCGCAACCACCACCACCACCGCCACCTCTCCCCGAGGACATCCAAACCGACTCTCTTAGGTATGCAATTTTCCATGCCCATTTTCATATTTTCAACATTGATAATCTTAATTTTTACAAGAGTTTTTCCAATTAATGCAACAAGAAAACTATTTATATTATATTATTAAAATAATTTGAATAATAGAACTTTATGATCACAGAATCTATATAAAATGCGATATATATTTTTGTTCGCAGTCCTACACCCTTGCCGAGCTTCCAGGAGACCTATACAGTGCAGCGATATACCAGACAGGAACTCCAGAGTCTTGGCATCAAGATGGATGATGAATGTTACGATACCCCAGTATATCCTTGCACCACCACTCACTATCCGACCGAATTCCCGGCTGCAGTATCCTATCACCAACAGCAACAGCCGCAGCAGCAGCATCCTCATCATCATCCGTCGCACCATCAACAACAGGCTCCGCATCATCATCAAAGTTACTTTCCTACGGAATCGGCGCCCACTCCGGCAACGGCAGTCGTTCCATCCTCGAATCATCGACAGGATTCATCTTATGGTGTGGCTGTCACCGTGCCTATGGTTTATGGGGCACCGTCAGCCATCGCCAATGTCACCACTCCCGTAGCTCCTACTGATCTCTGTCCCAATGTCGACGCTAACGTTGTAATTGGCACCACTAGGTCGCGAAGGCCGTCGCTGCCTACTCAGAGATCAGAGTCGGCAAGGTAAGATTCTTCACAAAATAATTATAATAAATAACTTCACGTCTCATTCACTCCTCGTTTAAATTAACATTTTAATATAAAAAAATGAGATTCTTTCGCATATTATTTTATTTAAAAATTATACCATTGTTAGTCACAATTTTAATTGTCGAATCAAATTTATTTAAAGAATCCAGAGCAAATGTATTTAATTATATTTATAATCAGATTTTAAAATAAAAAAAAAATATTTTCAAATTTATACGACAGATTCTTTACTATTCTATTGTAAATATTGGAAAACATTTTCGCTACTGCCGATCATATGACACGTTTCACGAGGACACGAGACGCGACAGTTTTCGGAGAATCCCTGTTCTGACTAGCGACGGGTTATAGATCAATGCGCGTCCTGTATCGTGTTAACAGTAGTGGGAGCACCGAGTCCCCGAAGCCGCGCGGCAGCGGTGGCACCGCCGGCTCCACCGTCAGTTCGCCGTCACCCGGAAGCGGTACCAGTGGAGAACGCGCGCCCCCGAGCCCGAGTCAGCTCTGCGCTGTGTGCGGTGATACCGCGGCCTGTCAACATTATGGCGTGCGTACTTGCGAGGGCTGCAAGGGCTTCTTCAAGAGGACCGTGCAGAAGGGCTCCAAGTACGTGTGCTTGGCCGACAAAGCCTGCCCGGTGGACAAGCGCCGGCGAAATCGCTGCCAATTCTGCCGGTTCCAGAAGTGCCTGATGGTCGGCATGGTCAAGGAGGTAAGTAATGACGCTGCGTTGCACGAAATAATTGTAAAAAATGTCTTTCTCTCATATTTATCAATTTGTATTGAGTTTAAAAATCGTCAAGTGTGATAAAGTAATAAATTCTCGCAATGATTCAATTAGTTCTGCCAAAGTTACTTCTGAGATTTAAAGCCTACTTTGAAAGATAGTGAGAAAAATTGTCACAAACGGATAAATAGAATTAATAATTGTATTATTTAATTGTCGCTCAGGTTGTTAGAACAGATTCTCTGAAAGGTCGGCGAGGCAGATTGCCTTCAAAGCCCAAATCACCGCAGGAATCTCCACCGAGTCCACCAGTTTCCTTGATTACGGCTCTGGTTCGTGCACATTTGGATACAACGCCGGACAAGGCGAGTCTCGATTACTCGCAATACCAACCACCGAGACCGGGCGACCCCCCGATGACCGAAGCCGAGAAGATTCAACAATTCTACAATCTGTTGACTACCTCGATCGACGTCATTCGTAACTTTGCCGACAAAATCCCAGGATTTACGGATCTAGTGAAGGAAGATCAGGTGAGTGATCATTTATAAGATAATTTAATGATGAATAAGATAACTCAAGGAGACAAAAAAACTTTAGAGAATTTAAAAATTGAGATAGTTTCTCAAAAAAGAAAAAGAAAAAAAACTTTCTGATTATAGAATTTTTACACTTTCGCAATTTTTCGCATTTTTTAGTTTAATTGTTGATTTTTCCGGGTTCCTTTTTTTTGTCGTAGAAATATATTTTATACTCATATATATCATATATAAGTCGGTGAAATATCGACTTTTAGGCGATACCCATTGGAAACTAGCGGTTATAGAGATCGATAGCTCATACATTTTCTAAAAGGTCAATCTTGACGAGCTTTTGACGAGCGGCTGACTAGTGAACTGCTCACGAAACGAATAGATATTAATTTGTTGTTAATATATCATTAAAATTAGCAAGAAGATTTTATCTTAGATTATATCTAAATCAAACTATAAATATAATTACTATCACTATAAATATAATTATCATTCTTTTATAAGTGTAATTTGATAATGTAAATGATAAAACGGTTCGTCTTGATCATGGTGATCTTAATTAATCCCCCCCCCCTCTCTGTCTCTGCATTTTATTGATAAACGCATACTAATAATTTCGCGATTAATCTGATTCCAGGATTTGCTCTTCCAATCAGCTAGCTTGGAACTGTTCGTGCTCAGGTTGGCGTACCGCACGCATCCGGATGATACGAAGCTGGTGTTCTGTAACGGCGTAGTCTTGGCGTTGGAACAGTGTCAGCGTAGTTTTGGCGAATGGCTGCACAGCATTCTCGACTTCTGTAAAGCCCTTCACTTCTTGGAGATCGACATCAGCGCCTTCGCCTGCCTGTGCGCTCTCACCCTCGTCACTGGTCAGTAGTATATTCGTTTTTTGATGCACTCACACTCTCCATTATATTATTAATTAAACAATCGAGCATAGAGATTGCCACATTTATAATAAAAAATATAATAATTTACTATTATTATAAATATTAATTGTACAATGATTGTTCATATTAATTGTATAGTAATTTGTATATCAATTTGCAATTTTAATGACAATCGCTTTAAACGGTACTTTCAATATCCCTTCACTCTGTTCACCTCACTTGCATTCTGGCTATACCAACCTGTCTATGAGATAAATAATTAATCCGTCGAATCAATTAATTATTGATGTTCCGACGAAAGGAACGACGATGCTCCGTGTTTTGCACGCGATCTATTGGTAACCAGACATGCAGGTGTGCGGTTTACAGGCGCGTTCAGTCGCAGTTTCCACGTTTAGATAGCTACGTCTCGAAAGTCGCGTGACTGATATTATTATACTTTAATTGATCAGTATTTCTTAATCTCGTAAATGTTAATGATGCCACAATTAAATCTCAGATTGTACTATAAGATCAATATTAGCAAGTTTTTTATAAAACATAAAATTCTGTTTTTATCTTGTAGAGATATCTTCACAAAATACAATTTAATTTGCGACACATTATAATTTTCGAATAATCGATAATAATGACGTCACTCAAGTTTCGTTTGTAAAATTTCAGAGAGATACGGATTAAAGGAGCCGCAGCGCATGGAACAGTTACAGATGAAGATCGTTTCATCTTTGCGCGACCACGTGACTTACAACGCCGAGGCGCAGAGGAAGTCGCAGTACCTGTCTTATTTACTAGGAAAGATACCGGAGCTGAGGAGTCTCTCGGTCCAGGGTCTCCAGCGAATCTTCTACCTGAAGCTGGAGGATCTGGTGCCGGCGCCGCCTCTGATCGAGACAATGTTTGTCGGTAGTCTGCCCTTTTAAACCGAGCCGAGCGCAGTCTATGGCTCGTCAGCACATAGAACAATTACTTTCTCAGAAACCCGTGCGGTTGCGTTATCTTCATTCTAATTGCATCCTTCTTAGTTCATATTACTACACGTAGCTTTATTCTCTTCTTGCGTGTAACTTCTCGCGCGGTCTCGCAGGACATTGCGATTCTCGACGAAGCCTTAGTTGACATCTTCTCGCGAAGAGTATTATGAAGGGTTCGTCGAGCAGGAAGAGCAAAGAGAACCATTGCTGATCGTACGAACGAGCGCGAAAATTATCCGTGCGAATTCAAGGCGACCGGTAAACTTAAGAAAAAGTTCTACGCATGTATGTGCGAGTGAATGTGTATATGCGTGAATAAGCAAGCGTGTCTATCATGTGCGAATGCGAATGTACAGAATGCATGGACGCAGGTCTCTGCATGCGCGACGAGTGGCGGGCGTCGAAGACGTCGCCGTTACTATTAGTAGTAAGCTACTAATTACTAATTATTATTGCTGACGAGTGAATCGGCGCAAGCGGAAAGTGGGCGTGAGGCGAGTCGCGAGGCGGTTTCGCTATTCTCCCTCTTCTAGCCTGTAGCAGATTTCGTGCGGACTCGGATGCGAACGAAAGGGGGGAATTCCTCTCTCTGAGACAGAAAGATTTTCCGCGCGAAGAACGCGAATTTTTCTCACTTTTCTATCTAGTTTGTACGAGACTCTCCTTGCCTCGCCTCGCCTCGTCGTTCCCGCGACTAACGCGCGACCCCTCACTTCTCGAACATCTCGGTAATATCTTCGGCAATACCTTGCCCGTCGCTGGAAAACGCATCGGCGATTCGCAACATATCAGAGCAACGGCGAGGAAAGCGGATGACGCTTTCCCGTCTTGACAGTAGACGTAGGATGTGACTGTCAGTTACGCCCTCGACGGCCGGACGATGCCGAGTGCAAATGCATCGATTGATTATCCAAATGCGTATAAAAAATTGATTGATGCAATTCTACGTCGAATTAAATATATATATGCGTGTATATATATTTATTATTTCGCCTTTTCTTGTTTTCATATCATAGTCATATCTGTCCTAATAATGTGCGCTTTGGATTCAAGTCAAATTGATGGATCAAGCACGACAAAGAATGAGAAACTAAATGATAGAAACTGGAATGTGAGAGTAAACTGTGAAATTCATGCGCATTCAGCGGATTGCAATCATGTTTCTTGGATATTGGAAAATGAGTTTAGAAACGCGGTGAGCTATTATTTTATGAGTTTAAGGGAGAACCTTTTAGATTGTGAATTATACTAGATAGATTTCAATCGTAGTATTTTTATAGATACTTTTTACACATTTTATATACGTCAGTCGTTAAGGATATTATCAAGAATTTCAACAAATATATATTTCAGATATTAATTAAATCGTAAATATTTACTACACACTTTTACAAGCATTTTACACAACTAGATCCATCCCAGTAATTTCCAATTGCATAGCTTCGCTATATAAATTATTAATTAACGGAAAAAGTTTAATTCGCGCACCTTTCAATTCAATCGCATATTTTAATATCGAAATTAGAATAATTTCTACAAATGGATTTTACAGTTTTAAAAGTTTAATTCACAGACTTGATTTAAATATTTTCGCTGGGAGCTTTAATAGATTTCAGATTTCTTGATTCGTGGAGTTTTTTTTCTCGCAATGCACTCATTATCAAACTCGGCATCGTCAGTGCCATTGGGGCGTTGTCTAAGGCGCGTGATCGATATCGATCGATTCTTTACCACTATTCTTGCGTTTATGTGATTTTAGAGAACTAAGGCGAACAACCACGAGCCCACCTCGTTCGTTTAAGAAAAAGATAGAGAGAAAGAAAGAAATAAACGGAGAGAGAATGAGAGTGAGAGTGAAAGAGAAGAAAAAGTTAATTCAACACGATGGCGAGGCGGGCTCGGCTTAAAGTTACCTATTACGTTATGACATTTACTTTTAATCAAACTAACGTAGAGTGTCCTATTTATATACGTATAACGCGCCGCTACTACTACTTAACTACTACACAACTACTACTTTACTATACCGTTATACTTATTACTACTCATTAATAGCGTTATTATTCTATGACGTTACTACCACTACTACCACTGTTACCAGCGTTACCTTTACTACCACTTTGTGTTACCATTGTCTCGCTACAATAAGCTTCACCATCGCCGTCGTCGTTGTCGTCGTTTTAAAACGTCCTTCATCGCACCAGTGCCCTTCTCGATTGACAACAGACGAAAGAGAATGCTAAGAAGGCATCCTCGCTTCCAAGATTATCGGCACGCATCTCTGTTTTTGATGTATCTTGGTATTTTACTCATATTCAAGTACACCGTAAAATAAAGTAAGATTGCAGATATGGAATAATTTTGCATTGCAGCGAAAAAAGATTTGATCATTATTTTAATGTCAAAATCTGAAAGAGAAGTACGCACAAGAATTTTCTCCCTTTTTCTTTTAAAATATATTGTTTTATTTTTAAAAAAATTATATTAAAAATTAGTAACTTTTTTCTCTCTCTTTTGTCTTTTGCCATCATTTTAATAATGGACATATAATTCTACTTTTATTTTAGATTAAATAAATATATTGAATTTTCTTTTTTAGTTTTCGAGATAATATTTATGAAAATAATAATAAATTTCAGGTTGAATTTTTATATAAAGACTTACTGCAATTTTCTTAGATTCTATTAAATGGTTCTAAAAATCTGTTTTTGTTCAAGCACAGTTACTCCTCAATGTAATCTTACGATACACATGTCGCTATCATAAAGCGATCCAAACTTCGTAAACACAGCAAATCAGGCATTGTTTTTACACCATGATCCATACAAACACATACAAACAAACACAGAACATTAAACATTTACACAGAAATTACATTAATTACCTGTACGTGCACAATAGATATGATAATTACGTGTGTATATGTTAATCTAAAGTCGTGTGTATCCGCAAATGATCGACGTCTCGTGCAATGGGCAGAATCGATATCCAGATCAATTTTGCCTTTTTAATAATTCTTTTACAATTGTGAATCTTTGAATTAATGTCTTTTATATTTGTTTAGCAATTAGTTGCGTCATATTTTTATTAATGCGTGATCTCTTGACTTATTTTGCGCATACAGCAAAGTACACAGAATAAGTCAAATATCTCTGTACAATCATCGCTAGAAACGGAAATCACACATTTCTATTTTATCTTCATTCACAACTATTCTAATTCTTTCATAAATTTTTGCGATTTTTCAGATATTTTGTTTTAATATTAATGAACAATTTCCTTTGCAATCGTGTGTATGCAAAAAAAACTCAGGCATGTTTTAAGATGAATTTATCAGTTTGAGAATCAGTTGGAGAAAATAAAAATTTTTTAAAAATTATTTTTTTAAAAATTTTTATTTTTTCCAACTTACTATGTACAGGGTGTTTCAGACCACCCGTACCACCCATTTAAAAACTAGAAAAGTGGTTATTTAAAATAAGTAAAAACATTTTCTTTATAACTCGGGTGCGCTCTATCGAATGGTGATATTTTCTAGTTCCGGTCGGAAATAGGCGATTTAGACCGGAAGTGCATTTTTTTTTAAATGGAACCTCCTATTTTTCATTGCATATTCTTATAGCTTACCTCGAAAGCTTTCCAAAACATTATAAATTATTTTTCCATGAAGTACTTTTCGAGTTATGAAGCTTGAAATCATTTCTTAATTTTGCATAAACCATAAAATATCTTGTAAAATATTCATTTTTCAATTATCTTACCTTAATACTTTTATGTATAAAATAATGAGAGGAATCAATTGGTGTAAAGAAAGCATACAGTTTGTTTTTAAGAAAAAATATGGAATTGTTAATTGCAAATTACATATTTTTTCTTAGAAACAACTATGTTTTCTTTACACCAATTGATTCCTCTCATTATTTTGTACATAAAAATATTAAGGTAAGATAATTGAAAAATGAATATTTTACAATATATTTTATGATTAATGTAAAATTAAGAAATGATTTCAAGCCTCATAACTCGAAAAGTACTTCATGGAAAAATAATTTATTATAGAGTTTTGGAAAGCTCTCGAGGTAAGCTACAAGAATATGCAATGAAAAATAGGAGGTTCCATTTAAAAAAATGCATTTCCGGTCTGAATCGCCTATTTCCGGCCGGCACCAGAAATTGAAAATATCACCATTCGATAGAGCGCACCCGATTTATAAAGAAAATATTTTTACTTTTTTGAAATAACTACTTCTCTAGTTTTTAAATGATACGGATGGTCTGAAACACCCTGTATACCAACTTTATATACATATAAAACATCATACATTCTTCAAAAATCGTGATCAATAATATTTAATTACCGAGTACAAATCTATAAAAGAATATTGATCGTGAAGAATTAACTCTCTCTCTTTCTCTTTCTTTCTCTCTAGTAATTGTTATTTATTAATAATTATAAAAGAATGATTTCCAATAGTAAATAGATTCATCATAATTATTTTAACACAATATAAAGGAAATTTACATATTTGGTTTGTAATATTACTATGTAATGTTATTAAATTAAATTTTTATTTAATTTTAATATTGATTTATACATTCATTAATTTTAATATTGATTTATATATTCATATTGATCAATATATTCATTCTTGAAAAATGAATTAGAAAAGATATTCAGAATATTAAAAAAAAATTACGTGCTCTAATATACTTATCACATATAGCAAGCACAATTGTTACTATAGACGATATGAACGTGACAACTCTTAAATGGCATGCGTGATGTCATGTGTGTATTAAATATTAGCGATATGATAACAATGAATGATATAGTCAATTCAGTTAATATTTCAATTACTCTTTCTACAAAGAAATTAATAATTTCTGTTTCTAGCGCGTAAAATTTGATTTCGTTGTAAAAATACAGATATCCAATGAAACAGGGTCTATGATTTCACAAAATTGCCACAAAGAATATTTCTCCGTGTATCAAATGATTCGTTAATAGTACGTCCACGTTTGCGGATAAATACGTGTGCAAGTGTTCAAAAGACAAAATGCCCGGTAAGAATGCAAGGTAAACAGGATCTGAGGGTGCAATGGCTCGGGCAACCCTTGCGATCGAAATTAGGATAATACAAGCCAGAGCGTCGATATCATTTCTTCATTCGAGGATCATGCAAAGGGCACAAAATTTCGAAAGCGTTTGTTTGAAGGAAACTGATTCGCCCTGCAAAATTGATAGTAATAAGATAGGAAAATTCTTGTTTAAAATATGCCAAAAGCCATTGGTGCCAATGTTCTGTCAGAATATTTTGTAATGTGAGAAATAAGATTATAATTCTATCGTGATTGAAGAACTCTAGAAATGTAAAGTCTTGCCTTTAGAATTTCTAAAAGTGAACATTTTTCGACAAAAGCCTTTTAACATAGCTATGAGAGAGTATAACAAATATTTTTAGGCATATAGGAACAATATTATTAGTCGTTGAGATTGAAATATTTACAAAATAATGTCTTTTCGGTAAATATAAATGTTTTCGTCCGTCCATTGCGAAAATAAGTATTTAATAATGGACTAGATATGTAGCCAAAAAAAATATTCCGGGAGACGAAGATGACAAAAATAAATAATTTGTGATGTTAATAATAAAAAAAATGAAGCAATACATTGGCATCGATATGCGTGGCATCGATATAACAAAAAACGAAAATTTTCACATTTATAAGAAATGCTTCGGTGCAATTGGGATCCTCGAGAACAAGCGTTTTGCCTGAGATTTGCCTTACTTTCTTCTCATATCAGTCCTCATGTATTAACAGGATTCTCGAATATAAGGATTGACTTTCTGGTCCACGCGAATAAAGTGTCAAGTTCAGAGAAGATTTCAAGAAAGGAATTATTGATCGTAGAAAAATCGGGATCGAGATTTCGCAAAAAGCTCGACTAAAATGAAAACCGCAAAGAGAATTTCGGTTTTCCTTAAGGAAAGGAAGATTTTATATTTTTTTTGTTCCTATATGTATCGTTTTTTAACGAGAATTTAAGCGAAGATGAAAGCGCGAGACCGATCTTCTGTTCCTAATCGCGAAAAATCATCTCTGGATTTAGCACTGCGGCGAATTATTTTTTAAGAGAAATTGTCATAAGGAAAACAGGCGAGAGAGAAGGAAATGCGAAAGAAAGGAGAAGAGGAGGAGGACAAGGTCGGATCGTTTGGGCGTGAACAATAAATCGTCCTCACGACGAAACGAACAAAATCGTCCCAATGTTTGTTGTTTAAACTGATTATCTGTCATTATTGTAACAAAATAACAGTCAATTCCGCTAGGTGTAAATCTATACCCTTCTCCCCGTTTCATCGATGTATACAATAAATGTTCGATCAACAGATTATTTTCAAATTCACTCCGAAATTTTGTTAATAAATTATTTCGATCGATGTCGCAACACTGAGTTTATCTATATCTATTGCTGATTCGTAAAACGACAGACATTGTTCATGTACAGGGTGGAAACAATATGGAACTTGTCGCACAGTTCTTCATCAAAATGATGGAAAGGTAATTACAGTTAGAAAGGAAACATGTCACATATGGTATACAAATGCACTACATAAATTTCTAAGATTTATGTTAGTATATTACATCTAAGATTTATATATATATAAATATAGATTTCTATTTATTAAATTTCTTAAATAAATTCCAGATTAGTTTTTCATAGCGCTTTCTTCATGCACAAATTATTAGACTTCCTCTATATCATTTTGAAGAAGAACTAATTATTTTAACATGTAATTTGAATTTTTTCTCAAAATTGTATAGAGCAATTTTTTTAATCTGTGCATTGTAGAAATTCTTCTCACTTTTATAATCACACTATTAAGAGAAACATGTATCCTTTATTAAGATAAAAATTAAAAAAAAACTAAAGTTAACTATAAAAATCATAGTTAACTATATCTTTAAATCGAAATAAACATGAACATAATTAATTGTTTTATAAATATAACTTTTTACAAATAATAGAACAATTTTCTCGCTACACATTTTTCAATATCTGTGAGTTTAATATCATTGTAAAAATTTCCAACTTTAAATCTAATAAATGTTATAGTCTTTATATTAATAAATATCTTGTTTTAATAAATTAATTAAACAAGATAAATTCATTTTAATAAAACATTAATTAAATTTGTTTTAAATTATGAAATTTTGTACTTCTTAATTTCTCACTGTTTTACTCTATTGTATGAATGTCCGCACCCACACACATACATGCTCGGTCAAAAAAACGCGTTTATAAATGTATGACAAATGTATTTTGAAATATATATACCATATATATATATATATATATATATATATATATATATATAGATATAGATATATACATCATGCAGAGAGAGAGAGAGAGAGAGAGAGAGAGAGAGAGAGAGAGAGAGAAATGAGGGTACCGAAAATAAATCCACTAAATTAATGCACATGTTTACACACATAACCAAAGAGACAATGTGAATAGCAGCCAACAAACGTCCATATAAATGTTGTAAGAAGACTAAAAAAACATTAGATCTTTTGATAGATCGATCTTTCTTTCCCCTCTCCTCTTTTATATACTATTATGCAAATGATTGAATGCATTAATCATAAATTAATGAAAGGGAAAGTCGATGAAAGCGACGAATATATCGATGAAAATATCGATAGCCATGAGAATTGAGGATGAGGTGATAATTAATTGCATCGCGAGATTATGTGATCTCGCTATGCGATTATGTGGTTGATGCATGAGAGATAAAGATAGAGAGAAAGTATGCAACAGATGTAACTTGAGCGGCTGGCAATATAAAAAATTGCGAGAGAAAAATATTTGGCGACAAGTTTTTCATCCATACGATACGTCAATCGTCGGATAACGTATAATATGTCACCTGTGTAAAACCGTACTCGAATGTTAACACACACACATATATATATATATATATATATACACATACATGTGCGCGCACATTCATAACACCTTCTTTCCGGCCTGATTCGTTTTTTAATTCTGTGCCGAGCCGCAACATAAATTTCCTCTCGCTTGGAATAATATATAAATATATAAAATGAAAATAATATATATAAATATATAAATATACAGAGAGATATATACAAATAAATTGAATATATATTATATATATACATAAATAAATATATATACATATATACACATATAAATATATATATATATATATACTTTCGATATAAATGACGAAGGGAGACAGTTCAAAGGCAAGACGTGAGAACAAAAAAATTATAATGATTATATTTTATAAATAAAAAAATTGACATGTGATATAGATGGTAAGGCAGGCGAGAATGCGATGCATTACGAAAGCAAATGTATTCTGTATATCGTTTCATTAAATCTACTAAAACGATCAGTCGGCTAATTTTTCGCGCCCTTTCTACTAAATCCCCTCACTCTCCCTCCTTTTCTTCTGCCTGTCTATAAAAATTGGAAATGCATCCGACATCATTTTAATTCAAGGACAACTTTTACGTTAATCTATCCTACAAAGAACAGTTTTGCACACCTGGTCATAGCTCTAATACCGGTTTTTAAATTTACATACGCGAACAAATCGAAATCCAGACATTGTCCAGATGTTGTCCAGATTGTTTTAATTGTAATAAATAAATTGTAAATTCTTTATACAAGTGCTGTACCGATAATAAATTAATCTGGATAATTGCAAATGATAATACTGATTGTTACTAATATTAATGTATATGAAATATATAATTACATATGTTTTTATAATATTTATGACAGATGTATATATATATATATATATATATATATATATATATATATATACTTGAAATATTCTTAGATATAATATTTATGACAGATGTTTTTTATAATAATTATATCAATATTATTAAGAATTCTAAAATTCTCAGAAATTTATATGTCAACTTGAAATATTCTTAGAAATAATTCCATATATCTAGTTAATTTATACGTATATATTAAGTTATATGCATTATTGCTTATACATTTTTTTTTTTTGAAAATTTGTTTTTATACACGTTTAGAAAAAGATATTCAAGTAAGAATTTAAAGAACTAAAAATTTATTTATTCTTAATTTCAATATTAAATTAATTTAATCATCAATATTAAATTTAAATATTAATATAATTTCGATATTAATATTGAAAAATAAACTAACAAGTCTAATAATAAGTAAAAGAAAAAGTCAGTATTGCGCAGTAATATATACGTACATACATACAACATATATATTGCACAATATTTGCAATCTTGTAGCAACATACCTGTAATGTATCTGTATAATCTTTCTACGTTGTACGAGTTGAAATGATGTGAATGTGCGAAATTCACACATACATCTTCATCTGTAAAAAAATGATCATTATGTATTTTATTATATACATATGTAGAGATAGAGCTGAGATATATGCAATATATATATATATATATATATATATATATATATATATTTTTTTTTTTTTTCCATAATATTTCTTATAAGATATGAACTAAAAAGTATAATAATAACTTATACAGTGAAGTTAGCCCTTGTACAATAGATTGATTCGCAGCAGATAAAAGGGAATAGTCCGACATTTTAGTTTCCGGAATAGTATCAGATATAGTATACTAGCTAATATCAGGTACTTATATATCTAGTGTAAATTTCTAGAATTTTCTTAATCATCAATGTTTAACAATAACTCACCGTAATATGTGTACACAGCAAACATTATAACAGACAACAGCATCGGACGTTTGTAAATTGAGCACGTATTCGCGAAAACGAAGATTTGCACGGAAGATTGAAGGGACCGCGACTTATTTGGCGCATCTCAAATCGAAAGACCCACCGACATAACGGTTTAATCTTGCGCACGAACGCGCGACCAATGAGGTTGCTGGCGAGCAGTGCCAGGTGACGCGCGCATCAGCTGACGCATGCGCGCCGCGCGTCAGTAGCGCGCCTCGACAAAGTAGTCCGCGCTCGGGAAAACACGACACGATCGTGATGGAAAAATACGACGATAGCTCCGCTCGCGGAACCGTCATCGCGTCGATTCCGCCTCCTTCCTCGCGTCCAGGTCTCGTTTTCACCCGGTACTTGCTTCCTGCGTAGATCCGGGCACGTGAACGTCAAAGGGATATCCCTGCGCCGCACGTTGTGTGCAAAGGAACCTTACGCGAGAGAGAGAGCGAGAGGGGACGATCAATCGCGCCGCGGATCTCGAGCGCGAAAAGGAGAGGGAGGAGAACAGGCCGCCAGCACAGGAAGTGGGTGTGCAGGGTAGGGGGAAAGTCGAAGGCAGTTGAGTCGGTGGTGGCTACATGTGGATATCCGCCGGTTGCGCCGAGAACTTTCGTATCGCGGAACAGGCGTAAACTATATATATATATATACACACATCTCGCGGCGAGATCGCGGGACTCGTGAAGGAATCGCGCCGAGAACGATATCGATTTGCCGTCAGCCATGCAGATGGATCCAACGACGTTGCAGCTGATCCAATTCCTCGAGAGGACCGTCTCGTCGGGTAAGCGTCCCGAGCCATTCCGTCGTCGTCGTCGGCGACGTCTCGCGTAAACCGGCCGCGGGATTTTCCCAGGAGCTCCCGGGATCCCGGGAAACGCGTCCAGCGTCGATCTCGAGGAGGCGAGATCGCCCGAGGGATCCGGGAGAGAACGCGTCGCGATCCCCGCTCGGAAAACTCTCGTCCGCGCAACGTGCTCGCTCGCCGTCCTCGGGATCACGGGCTTCCCCGGGATCCCCCGACCCCGCGAGCACCCGTCGTCCTCGTCCGGACGAGACGGCGAGCCATCTCGCACGCGTTTAGGCGCGATATCGCGCCCCGTCGTGCTGTTGCTAGGCGCTTTGTTCGGCGCCGGAAAAGTATTGTCTCGTTGGACGGTTGCTCGCGACACGAAGCGCCTTCCGAGCGACGTTCTCTAACCTACAATTTGTCGATTCTTGCGCACGTGATTAATACGTCCTCGCCTTTGCCTTTCAGATAAGAACGAGCTCCTGGCAGCGCAGACTTTTCTGCAGCATGCGGCCGACTCTAATCTCGTGAGTAACCGAAGCGATCGATTAGAATGATCGTCAGGAAGAACATTGTCTTATATCTCGCTTCTGCCTTTTTTCTCAGCATGAATTCGTGCAACGACTCAGCGCCGTGCTGGTCACAGTCGGCGCGAGCCCCGTGGCCCGCATGGCAGCGGGTCTACAGCTCAAGAACCAACTTACCTCCAAGGATCCCGAGATGAAGTTCCAGTACCAGCAGCGCTGGCTCACCATCCCTGCTGAGACCAGGGATTATATCAAGAAAAATGTAAGATATGTCATTCCTATATCGTGTGCTCTAGTATTAATATTTCAATCTATCGTCTTTTTTTATGGAGCAGATGGTATTTCATCTTTGTTTGAAATTAGAAAATAATATAGGATTTATTTATCTACGATCTCAGGAACCTGTATAAGAAAATGTTTCGCTCTTTTTATCTTTTTGTTATCTTCATTTTTATATATGTATGTTTATCTTTCTGCTTAAGATAATCTGAAATAGGATAGAAACTCTCTCGTGTGTAAATATCTGGAATATTTCTCTCCGTATGTGTGGATATCTGGAATATTTTTTGAACTGTATTTGTTAGAAAGATTTACTACACTGCGTATTAAGAAATAAAATTTTATGGCGTGTCAAGCTCCTAAAACATGTCACATCCTTTATATAACAAATATGTGGGATATTTATATTTGCAGATTTTAGGAGCGTTAGGAACAGAAAACAATAGGCCAAGTTCTGCGGCGCAATGCGTCGCTTACGTTGCTGTTGCCGAATTGCCTGTGGGACAATGGAGCGAATTAATTCCATTGTTAGTCAATAATGTTGTCAACCCGTCCAGTACCGAAATGATGAAAGAGGCCACTTTAGAAACTATTGGATATATCTGTCAGGAGATTGAAAGTGAAGTGCTGGTATCGCAATCAAATGAAATTCTCACTGCTATCATTCACGGTATGAAGGGTTCTAGTACATCAAATCATGTTCGACTAGCAGCGACAAGCGCCTTGTATAATTCTCTAGAATTTACTAAAGGAAATTTTGAGAAGGAGGTTAGTATTGGACATATATTATATTATATTATAATTACTATATAATTTGTGATAACTATTGTTTTGATATTTTAATCATACTTACAGACAGAACGAAACTTTATAATGGAAGTTGTGTGCGAGGCCACTCAGTCTACCAATACTCAGATCAGAGTGGCTGCGTTACAATGTCTTGTGAAAATTATGTCATTGTATTATCAATACATGGAACCATATATGGCTCCTGCACTGTTTCCTGTAAGTTTCTATTCGATTAATTTATCCAGAAGACAATTACAATATTAGATGATATTGAAAGTAAAAGAAAAGAAAGATATTTCGTTAATAAAGTTGTCTTATTTCTCTTTCGAAAAATAACTTTGAGTTTCCAAGTTATCATCTTTCTGTAACGTATATGTGAAATTATTGATAAATTTGTTTGCAGATTACTTTAGAAGCTATGAAATCCGACATTGATGAAGTGGCACTTCAGGGAATAGAATTTTGGTCGAACGTATCTGACGAAGAAGTTGACTTATCGATGGAAGAAGGAGAGGCATCGGAAGGAGGTCGTCCGCCGTTAAAAGTCTCGCGACATTATGCTAAAGGAGCTTTACAATATCTTGTACCGGTATTGATGAAAAAATTAACCAAGCAAGAGGAGTTCGATGATGAGGACGATTGGAATCCCTCAAAAGCCGCCGGAGTATGCTTGATGCTACTTTCCAGTTGCTGCGAGGAATCCATCGTTCCATTCGTTCTTCCCTTCGTCAAGGACAACATTAAGAGTCCCGACTGGAGGTACAGAGATGCAGCTCTCATGGCGTTTGGTTCGATTCTCGGTGGTTTAGAACCTGCCACATTGAAACCATTAGTGGAGCAGGCTATGCCTACTCTCATTGAGCTGATGTACGATAGCAGTGTGGTCGTTCGGGATACTGCAGCATGGACATTCGGCCGTATATGTGAGATGATTCCAGATGCCGCAATCAATGAAACCTATCTGAAACCACTATTGGAATCCTTGGTGAACGGATTGAAAGCCGAACCGCGTGTCGCTGCCAATGTATGCTGGGCATTTACAGGATTAGCAGAAGCAAGTTACGAATCTGCTGAAATGAGCGAAGATGCCACTCAGCCAGAAACATATTGCATGTCACAGTACTTCGATTTTATTATTCAACGACTCTTGGAAACAACGGATAGGCCAGATGGGGCTCAAGCAAATCTAAGATCTGCTGCTTATGAGGCTCTGATGGAGATGGTGAAGAATTCACCGCGCGATTGTTATGTAACTGTACAGAAGACTACAATGGTGATACTTGAGCGATTGCAGCAAGTATTACAAATGGAGTCGCATATACAAAGCCATTCTGATCGCGCCCAATACAATGATCTGCAATCGCTGCTCTGTGCAACTTTGCAGTCCGTATTACGTAAAGTCACTCCAGAGGATGCACCACAGATATCCGATGTGATAATGACCGCTTTGCTATCCATGTTCAATTCGAATTCATGTAAGTCAGGCGGCGTCCAAGAAGATGCGCTCATGGCGGTCTCGACTCTAGTTGAAGTATTGGGTGAAGGCTTTCTAAAATACATGGAAGCATTTAAACCTTACCTTTGTCTTGGTTTGAAAAATTACGCCGAGTACCAGGTGTGCTGTGCTGCGGTCGGTCTTACTGGTGATATCTGTCGCGCACTGAAGAGCAAAATGTTACCTTACTGCGATGAAATCATGACGCTGTTGCTCGAAAATCTCAGCAACAATGCCGTCCATCGATCGGTTAAACCGCAGATCTTCTCGGCTTTTGGCGACATCGCCATGAGTATTGGGCCAGAGTTTAAGAAATATTTAGATGTCGTATTGCAGACACTAGTACAAGCGTCCCAGGCTAACGTGGATAGGAGCGATTATGATATGATCGATTATTTGAATGAGTTGCGCGAGGGCGTACTCGAAGCTTATACTGGCATCGTCCAGGGTCTCCGCGGTGATGCAAACAATTGTCCAGATGTTGCTATTTCTCTCATCGAGCCGCACGTGCCGTTTATTATACAATTCATCACTTCGATAGCACAGGACCGCGAGCATTCTGACGGCAATGTGTCAGCTGCAGTGGGCCTACTGGGTGATCTCGTAATGGTGTTTGGAGTCAAATTGTTGCCCATGGTGGAAACTGACCCGCTTAACGAGCTATTGGCTAAGGGTAGGAAGTCGCGAACTCACAAAACTAAACAGCTGGCGACTTGGGCTGCGAAGGAGATTCGGAAGCTCAAGAATCTCGCCAACGCTACGTCCAGTTGGTGAGTACTGTATCTCATTACATTCTTTTAAAATCTAAACGTCGTTTAATTACTCGTCGCAATGATCTCGATGCAATTTGAAATCATTTTAATGGGCAATGCACTAACACCGTATTTTATTTTGAGTTTCTTCTCCAACTCGTATTTCAGTTTCGTTATTTCATTTAGAGCGACGAAGTTCATCTTGGTTACTTTTGCTGCTCCTCCTTTCACGTTTTTTCGCGCTCCTTTCTTCATCTTTATCATGCACATTATCGTATGCTTCGATATTATGAAGTTTTAACGAACGAGTTTTTCACAACGGGGATAGGTGATAATAGGATAGGACGAAAGAAAGAAGGGGGAGGAGGGCAGAAGAGAGATAGAGTGAGAAAGAGAGAGAGAGAGAAGAGAGAGAGAGAAAAAGTGCGCGCACATGAGTATATGATTCAAGAATTGTTTGATATTGACAGAAATGCTACTTTCCGTTGTAGCGTTATTTTCTGTTTCTCGGATATTCTGGTACGCGATTTGAAACCCCCTCCCCAAAAGAAAAAGCACCCATGAGCGACGGTGACTGATATTTGGCTCGCTTTTGTTGTTTACAGATCGCCCCACGGTTGTACTGTCGTGCAATTTGATTTGACTAGAAAGCTATCAAACACAATACAAAGACAACAAGATTGGATGGTGCGGATGCGAGTTGATGGATGTGCGTGAGTCCAAAGCGATGATGACGAAATGGAATGATGAGTCTGCACTTGTCCCTATCTGGCGACGGTATTTTATCGATATAATCGGTTGAATGCAGCCCATATGATACGAGAGAAAGGGATTTTAGTGAGAAAGCGAGAGTGAGAATGAGAGAAAAAAGAAAGAGAGAGAGAGAGAGAGAGAGAGAGAAAGAAAGAGAGCACGCGAGACAAAGAGAGAATAAAAAAATAAGTACCTGTCTGCCGGATGCCGACAATGAATGATGAAGAATGCAATGTTGCTGATGAATGAATCAAAACCAAGCGAGAAGTTTGCTGAGATGATTGCAAGTATGCCTGGTACGAACAAATCTGCGGCTTCTATTCGCGTGATTGAGATATTAAATCTCGAGGAGAGAAAGAGGATGACTTCGATGGACGATCACGTGAAAGAAATGAGCAGAAGAAGATGCGAGAGAGTGAGATGCCAAAAGCGCGACAGGAACACCAAGAGAGGTTGGACGGAGAGTATATATATATATATATATATATATATATATATAGACGTATATGTATATGTGAATGATGGGGAGAGAAAATGAGAGCGAAAGACTCAGGGAGAATTTCTGAAATAAAGTGATAGCATGATAAATACGAGAAAAATGTATGAAAAATGTAGTAAAATGTATGTATGCATGTTACGTATGTGTGATATGAGAGAGTGGACGTGTGCATGTGTACGTGTGTATGAGAGTGTTTTATTTACGGCGATTTTCGCCGTTGACTCATTGTAAAGCTCTTGCCGAGTTTTTCAATGATGTGCATCAAATTTTGAATCGCAGTTTACAACTATAAAGCTTAGATTTTACGTATATATAAAAGAGTATCACTTTCCTATGCAGCAGAATGAATGGACAGCGAGAAAGAGAAAGAGAGACTGAATGCGAAAGGTCAGGAAGATTGTAAAACTCATAAAACTAGATGACCCCTGGTCCGATCGTGCTACGCGAGAATCCGTAATCTGTTGTGTAATAGTATGAGATGATGCGTATGTTACTTTTTCCCCGTATGTGAATGTCTGTTGCTGTTGATTGAAACATTAAAGTTAATATTTTGCTGGCATAAGTGATTTAGTTGTACCGAAGTCCTCGTCCGGCCTGAACGTCCGTAGGAGCAAGTGATATTGAGCGCTCAACAATCCCCAATCTTATCCTATGTCCGCTTTCCCCTTTATCAGTCTTTATAACCGGTCGATATACGTGCAACCATTTTAGTAAATCAATGAAATTGCGCGATCACGGTACTCAAGAGTGACGCCGCAGACGAGGAGCTTTGCACTGCCATTTGGAACAACCGCTGCACGGCTTGTCCACATTTTTTAAACACTCGTTCCTTCCTTCCCTGTTCGCGAGACGTCTGGGTCACTCTCGAGGTCTGGGTGAGATCGTCTTCCTGGCTACGCGTTGCCTGTCATTTATCCTTTTTCCCACACGATGAGAGAGTCTCGCGGATCACCGGGACTTTGAGAAATTACCGTGATCGCGTTTAAACAAGCCGAATACTGTTAAACGGGTAATCGATATAGTTTAGTGTCGTAGCTTGGAAAGAAGCGTAGCTTAGAGTAGAAGATCTTTTTCTCCGAACGGAATTACGTTTGCGGTGAAATCGCGAGGAACCCTTCCACGTTCGACCGGGATGTCTCGAGTACCATGTGGTGTATTTCTACCTCTGCTTATACCGTATCTTTGATGACGAGTAGCCAATGCCGCGAGTCGTTTTGTGAGAATCATCTAGAGCAGCCTCTGCGCGGATCTGTTTCGCGCTCCGCGATTTTTAGCAACATTTTGCGACATAATAACGTGACACGGAATTACGTCACGTCGTCGTCGAGAAACGTGTCTGTGGTAGTGCCATGCATTCCAAATACTTTTGTCAGCGGACATGCCGGACTTTCTTTCGTAATTTGACTATTTTGTAGCGATTTCGTTCGTGTATATATATATATATATATATATATATATATATATATATATATAATATTTAATATATAATATATATATTTATATATAAATATATATATATATATATAATATATTTTATATATATATTTATATATAAATATATATATATATATAATATATTTTATATATATATATTTATATATAAATATATATATTATATATTATATATATATATATATATATATATATATATATATATGTATATTTATTTCTTGTCGCAAATTTTCGGGATGCGTGAAGGAGATAGTGACGTAGTATAACATAGAAGTCTTAAGTTTTTTCAATTTAATTAATGCGAGCGTATATGTTTTCGACAAACGTCAGCGCGAAAACGCACAGTTCTTAGATACATTTCGCTGGCATTCGCTCGATGATCAAGGCAACGAATGTAGAACAATCACATTGATTGATCTACATCTTTGTATCTCCGAAAACTAAAATTCGTGCATCGCACATCAACGATGCATGTTTACAGCACGCACGTGCTTAAACAATTTTTATATTGATGGATTATTTTGCATACAATACGCTTGACGTAATGACGTTTATTATTACAGTATCCCGCATAAGTATTGCCACGATATTTCACAATCCGGATTTTTACGAGAAAAATGAATATATATTTTAGATACTCCTCTCCCCCCTCTTACTCGTAAATCGCAGAAAAATAATCTGTTTGTTCCTATTATTTGTTTATAAGAAATTTATACATATTAATTCGATTTTTTTATTTATGTATCTGTTACGTTCAATAATAATGCTAATAATAATAGTGATAATAATGTACTATCTCTTCAACAGATTATATGAATATTGCCAAATTGTAAATAAGCGGTAAACAAGCTTTCTAATCATCGATTTGAAATTTATCGAGATAATATCAAAGTTTAATAACGTGGAAGATATACATATATATTGAAATCACTTTTCTCTAAGAGAAGGGTAAACTATTTTTCTAAGATGAGATTTTCATAAATTACGGAAAATAAAACTTGTTGCGAAAACAAGAAGACGTTTTCAAACTTGTGGCAATATTTATCCGAGCAATTCTATATCTATTCTAAGCCGACATTACATTATTTGTCATATAATTAGTGATTTTCAAAAGTATGTTGAACATATCTGCAGCAGCTTTTTTTCTGAATTAATAAATTTCGCCAAATAATACCAAATTTTTACAACACATTTTAAATCTATTAAATAACATATTATTCTCGTATACAAATTTAATCGTTCAAATATTTCGTATATAATCAATATTAATTAATTTTGCTGTAACTTTTTTTTATATTTATCAAGAAAGTCGATTATTTTCGAAATGTGATGCCGAAATTTCGCCGATATTATTTCGCGATGACTTATCATTTTAATATGATTATCATCGATGGCGAATTTTCTTATTACGATGAACTTTCGATAAGAGAGCGCGAGATCCTTTTCTTTTATACATTCCACTTAGCGAAAATTAGGTGAAGAGAAAGAGAGAGAGAAAGAGAGAATGAAAGTGAGAGAGACGGAGAGGACAGCGGTGCGTGTGTTTCCGCATCTTGCAAAAAATTCGATCGCTCTTTTTCTAATTTGTGATCGAAAATTTGCAATTTCTGTGTGTGCCGGTCGCCGGAATTCGCAGCCTCGTCCTGAATTTACTGAGATAATTTTCTTCAAATCAATCTGGTATTGTAATCTGAATTGTAAGCTTACAACGATCTGAAAATCAGTTGTGATTTTAATATTGATCGACTCTGAATTGGTATATACCTATCTAGAGTTTTATTACCATTAACAAAGGAAATTTAAATGGAATTTTAAATCTGAGCAAAAATTGTATGGTTTCAAAAAATGTAATAATTTACTGTATATATTCACTATTTTTTATTTTTTGTTAATAGTATTACATTTATCCATACACTTGTAACCAAAAAAATTAGCCTTGATTTCTTTTTAAAAATTTGAAAAATTGAAATTATGCAATTCTGTTTGTTTCAAATAAAAAATTTCATAAAACAAAAATAATCTATTTTTTATTAAATTATCTTTAAATATTTGATAATAAAATTGTTGATTCTTTTTCTCTGAGATTTATCGAATGCTAAAAACTATATTTATAATTATGATTCTAATTGTTATTTCCAAATGTATTAAATATTGTATTTATCTATAATAATAATACTGAATCATGTTTAAAAAAATTGTCTCGATGCTGGCGCGAAATTGCCGCGAATTGCGTCGCCGAATTTATTGAAAAAAAATAAAATAGGGGGAAAAAGATAGAGAGAGAGAGAGAGAGAAGAAATTAAATGCGAGAGTG